ATGCACTGCAGGCTGCAGCCAATAGATTGAAACACCATGGAATCTCAAAAACCACCCATTGTTTTTCTTTAATCAAGTATTTCTTGGACCAAAATACCCTTCCACTTCCAACCAATTAAAACCACGGGTTTTGCATAACAATGTAGAAGTTGACTCTGGGAAGGAATCTGATTCGTGTAGACCACTTGTTCAAATAAACCCACTTGTACCTTATTCCATCGAGTCCACCCAGCAAGTCTTTATATAGGCCAGCACTTGCTCATCAGTTTCCTCCCCCCAATTTCACTTTCTTTAGAGCAATCACTCATTCAAGCCCTCAGCTCCTCTAATATTTTTTTTTTCCACTATGAGGACTGGCATGTTCTCCTACACCACTTATGAAGATCGGCAAATTGAGCCTCATTTCCTTGATGCTTGTTTTCTTTGCAGAAAACCACTTGGAAATAACTCAGACATCTTCATGTACAGGTAATTTCATGACCCAATTCCTGAATTTTTATTCCAAGAAATTATTGTTTTTTTTTTTTATAGTTAAATTTGGCTTCAGATTTATTTTTCTTGTCTTTGTGGTCATGTTCTGATGTAAACTATGGGGGAATTTTGCAGAGGAAACACACCGTTTTGTAGCAAAGATTGTAGACAAGAGCAGATACAGTTTGATGAGGCTAAACAGAAGAGTTGGAAAGTGTCCTCTTCTTCTTCTTCCAGTAGGGGAGCCCTCAGAAAATCAGACACCAACAAGAACCCTACCCCCGACGAAAGTGTACGGAGGACAGGCACCGTTGCTGTAGCCTGATCTCAGAGTTTATATGCTGTTTATAATCTTACAGTTCCACGTGGCGAGATCATGGGGGGTTGAATTTTGATAAAGGGGTTCAAACACTGGGATTGTGAGGGGAATTACATAGGAAGTTGTGACGAATATTTTAAATATCGATGATTTCGGAAATATCGGTGGATCAAAAATTTGGAAATATTGTCGAATTGGGAAATAGAAAAGGAGAAGAAATCAAGAATACCTACTTAAGAGTTTTGTTTTGTTCAGGTTTTTTTTGGTCTGTGTTTACAAGGAAGAGCCTCCTTTGGTATATAGGATGGTTTGTAAATTTTTTGTAATGATCTTTGTTTACTTCTCAAAGGATTTTGAGACATTGAAAAGTTTCAAAGAGACTTAATTGAATCTTCACTCACGTTTCATGATTTCATTTTTGTTTTATTTATTTTTCTTTGCTTTTTTAATAGATTGTAGACTTAAAAAGTGTTTTGAATCATCATAAATTATGCTTTTTCTGAACTTTGATCTGCTTTCTGTATCAACGGAAAATATCTCAACCTTTTTCTGCTTTCTGTATCAACGGAAAATATCTAATCACTTTACATTATCAAAGGAAGAAAAAAGAAAGTAATGGTTAAAGACCTAATTTGGAAATGGTTTAAGGACGAATCAAGTGGGGATGCCTCAATAACCATGAAACATCCTCTCCTTCCTGTTTTAATACAAAATTCCGAACAGACTTCATTTGCACGTCTCAAATTGCTCTTGTTTTTCTGTTTGTGAAGATCTGAACTGTTTTTGGAAGAGTTAAAAGCGTTTCGAGACAACTAAAATACTTCATATAATGTTTACCATAAGGCTACTCTGAACTATATTATAATTGTCAATTTAACTATTAAGTTTTGTTTTCTGTAAATTAAGTATTTAACTATATAAAAATGGCCAATTCGGAACTCGCCGTCAATTTTTTAGATGTCCATCCAAATTTGCGTCAATTTAAGGGACAAATTCATAATTTTAAAAGAAAATAATAATAAAAAGATATTTAAAAAATCAGGAAAAAAAAGAGAGATGATAATAATTGGAGTGCCACAATAAATCTCTGTATGTCACAACATGACTGCAACTTAGATATGGCTGGGCCTATATCATGAGGTACCATTATAACTTCTTGTTGATATAAGAACAATTGGTTTTAAAAAATTAAAATGTGAAAAGGCCATTAGTCTATAACACTAGAGCTCGTTTGCGTAGGCTATAATCCCTTCCCTCCATTAGTCCCATCTGTGCTTTCTTTGTTCCCACGATGTTGAAACTTTAGATCATCTTTTTAGCACTGGCTCTTTTGCTCGTGAAGTTTGAGTGTTATAATGGTTGTCCTTGTCCTCCTGTACGCGTCCAAAGTGTTTGTGGGCTTTTGGTGAACACTGCGTTGTCCCAGGTTTTTGGCAGGCTGTATTTTAGATGCCATGTGTTGTTTGTTGGTCAAGAAAAGCTAGTTTGGACCCTTAGGTTGGGCTCAATGCTGCCCTTTTCTTTATATGCGTTAGGCATTTCACTACTAGTGTTCTACTCTTCTAGCAGGAAGAGAAGAATGATTAGGTAATGTGAAGATAGTGTTGCGCTCTTTGATCTTAACCTCTAACCAAAGCCATTGTGCTCCAAGTGGGGAATTTGACTTGGATATGTTCTTTTCTATGCTTCAATTAAGAGGACTTAAACATTTCACTTGCTATGTAATAAAACTTAGAAGAAGTAACAACTTTAAACTAATATTGGACAAAAAAGTACAATACAAGTTCGAAGACAAAAGTGTCAGAAAGACATAATATCGTTACAAGAAACCAAACGCAAGTTCGTGTGGACCTAAATACACTTAATAAAAACAAAAAGTAGCCTAATAGAACCTGAAAATACTGATGTGGCAAGGCGAATGAACTCTTTTGCCTCTTCCCTTAGAAATGCTCTAAGCATGAATTGATTTCTATAATCTTCATTGGACATACTTTGCCCTATGAATCCTTATTTTTTTCTGGTTGACCAATTGTTGGTCAATGTTTCTTTAGCATCCGACGTAGTCTGATGGGCTTTTGGGCCTTTGGACATGCATGTGTTAAGTTTTGATCATTTTATGCTAACTGACCACAAAATCGGCCCATTGATGGTAGAAATTGGGTTGTGCTAATTTTGATCCAAACATTTTCTTTATATTTCTGTCGTCCTCAGTCTGGTACTTTATATTTTCATTGGCTTACTTCTATGACGGATCTTAATGATAAATCTTCTTGTGGCCTTGCATATCTTTTAGTCGTGCTCTGTCAACTTGCTGGCGGATATGGGAGTCTAGGAAGCAGTAGATTTTAATAATTATATGTTTTATTTATTTAATAATTAACATTATGAGATTTGAACTCACATTATAGAGAAAGACTAAATGCCACTACTATTTTTAACCAAATAAGGTTCCTCTTTTTGAGAAAAATGTGATAGATTGCGTTCATAATTCAGGTTGAAAGGTCGTCAGTCAAAATGACCAATACAAATACAAAAGCTCACGAGCAACAAGTGCACAAGATTTACATCCGCTCATAGCCACATATGGCCTATTCCAGAAAGTCTGGAAAAACCATACAAATACCTCATCACAACTAACTACAAAAACTCAAAAGGAGTTGATGCACTTATCCAACTAAAAAAACTGCAACACAAAACACGTAAAACAAAACTTGATCTACCACCATGTTGTCGCGCCAAGACAACCAAACAACCATCAAACTCAGCCCAAGACGGAAGCGTTGGAGGCAATGAGCGAGGACAAGAAGTGGAGAGGGTAGGGGAAGGTTTAGGAGGGTAAGAGGGTAGGGATAGAGGCCACTGACTCCAAAGGAGAATGGCGGCTGAAACTTTTCTGTCTTACGATTTTTTTCAAAGCTCCTTGATTATTAGTTGTGTGATTTAATTTCAATTACAACATTAATTCGTGGCTACAGATATTGGAACCCAGTTTTAGTCCAAGTAAAGTAAAAACAGCAAACAAGCAAGCCAACGTTTTCCAAGATCGGTTCAACAACGTAGAATGCCCTGCAGGAACAATCCCTCTAATTAGGCCACCAAGATCACATGATTATAATTGGAGTGCCCCAATAAAGTCCTATACGGCAATGGCACGGCACGGGCGCAGATCAGATGGAGCTATTGACAACAGTGAGGTACGTACCATTATAAGGGGACAAATAATGTCTATTCATATGGTATATTTTTATTCGTGACCCTAACAAATTTATTGTGGTTGAAAGAAGGATAAATATAGACACGCTTGCTACAATGTTCAATGAGCTGGTTTTGTGCAAACCAACCATAAATTTGTCTCGAATTCTGTCTTACGACTTCTTTCCAAATACAACGAGGAGCAGTTCAATGTGGATATCACTATATTGAAGGTAACTCACACAATACAATTCTATTCTATTAAGGGATATTTTAAGGAATTAATGCAAATGACAAATTGAGTTTAATAGTGAAAGTCAAAAACAAGATAATCCAAGACAAAATTTTCTTTCCTGATTGATGATGATTTACACTTTTAAATTTCATCAGAAGGTGGAGAATAGCTTTTGGTGGCTCCTAGTGCACGGCGAGCCAATAGGGTATTGGCCTCTCCACGTTTTCTCAACGTTGGCTGATAGTGCTACATAGATACATTGGGGTGGGGTGATGACCAATTTGAGAATTCATGGCCGTCATGCACCAACTCAAATGGGGGGTGGCCAATTTCCTCACGAAGACTTTGGAAAGGCACGTTATATCCGCAATCGGCAATACGCAGATGTCACTGGCTCTTTCAAAGACCCAGAACGTCAAACCCTCCAGCCTTTTGCAATAAAGTCTCTTTGTTATCGCGTAAGTATTCCACATAAGGATACCGAGTATGAAAGCCATATGCATTTTGGAGGTCCCGGACACTCAAAAGATTGTCCAACTTAGCAATAATGAAACGGGAAAAGATGGACGAGAGAGTAATTCCATATTGAAATAAATAAAGTCTAATGACGAAAGAGATTAAGATGAGTTGTTCTATGAAGAATATCACATTGGGAGCACTAGTATATATAATATATGTAAGTTCCAAAATATTTTGAAAATTTATATTTCCAGTAATTTTTCGAAACAGAATTGATGTCGAATTTTTTTAATTTTATGTTTTGTTACCAAATTGGAAGAATGATTTCATTATTAAATAACCTATACGTGGGAAAGGCTGATTCTTACAGAACCTACATTAGAATTGTCTGATGGCATTAACAACTTTACAAAAATAGCCATCCAATTTAGCTCACTTATGCTCTTTCACCTTTTCTGCAGTAGTTTTCTAATCCTCTGTCCTCAAAAACAACCCTGCCATTGAAACAAGATTCAGCAAAGCTGAATGAAACACCATCAAGTAACCTTTGCCCTCTGCATGATCATGAATCTTCTTCTGCTAGCACTCTCCACTTGCTCACCTAGTTTGGCCAAGTGATTCATTCGTCTCTTCCATGATGCCGAGGCCCCCAATTGGCTCTGATTTTTTACTGAGTCAAGTTGCTCGTTTTCAACAGATTCAGGACTTCTCTCAGATGTATTTCCTCCTCCTGTTTCTTGAATAATCTTCTTCAATGTGTCTACTACCTGACTCATTGTTGGCCGATCTTTTGCACTCTTCGACAGACAACTATCAGCCAACCTAGCAATTTTTCTTGCTGCGCTGATCGAATACTTGTTTTCAAGCCGGCTATCCATTATCAAGCCGAACTTTTTGCCATCATGAGGGAACTGTTTCACCCATTCTAAGAGTCTCTGCTCTGTTCTTGGACGGTTTCTCTCCAACGACCGTCTGCCTGTAAGAATCTCATACAGCACCACACCGAAACTCCATACGTCACTCTTAGTTGTGAGATGGCCTGTCTCAACGTAATCTGGTGCAGCATACCCGTATGTCCCCACTACCTGATCATGAAACAAATTCCCATTAGCATTACAATAGTCTTTAAAATTTAAATGCATTTAATGCAGTGACTTTGCAAGCCAATCACTAACAGTTTAGTATGAAGCAGTGTACGAATGCTCTTTGCTTCAAAGTTGGTGTTTTAATATGCATGGCTTGTCCATCACTTGATTGCTTTCTAGTATTTTCCAGACTTAATCTCACCTTATTTCTAGAACTTTCACTAATGCAAGATAATGTTCCAATATGTTTATTGCATGAATTTAGTGTATGACTTTGAGTCGCGATAAAGTTGGGACCAGGTGCATGCTACAAATGCTTGTGAGAAATAAGAGCACTTACTGCAGTTGAAACATGAGTATGGCCAACCATTGGCCCCTCCCTTGCAAGCCCAAAGTCAGAAAGCTTTGGTTTAAAATTCTCATCCAGTAACACATTCGCGCATTTAAGATCTCGATATATTACCTTTATCAATAGCATAAGAAAAAAATCAGAATAATAATGGTTAAGACTAAGCTTGAATGCTGAAAATAACATGTAGATGATGTAGAGAATAAACTAATGGAACAGTTCTATTTTAACATGGTCTTGGGCACCCCTCAGTCACAAAGTAAATGCAGAAGAGCATTTGCGGGGAAGGGGGTGCAGAGGTTAGGGCATAGATGAAAAATCGATGTGGGAATGGGGTCTCATGGCCATGAAAAAGTTCAGGGTTGACCTTATCCAAAGAAAGAAGATATTTTCTCAAATTTGGACATCTGTCCACTCCCAGAACCAGAAGTGAATGTATATCTTGTTGGATTATGACTAGTTTGTTGACTTGTTAACCATGTTGGATTATGACTAGTTAGTTGACTTGATAAGTTGTCACATGACAACTTATCAAGTCAACTAACTAGTCATAATCCAACACATCTGCCCCAGGAGAAAGGTATACAATCTGTGATGAGTAGTAGTACTATATATTCAATATATATGCCCGGTGCCAACAAGCTCTAGCTCAGAACCTGGATATCCCCAATATGAGATAAAACAGCTGATTTTAAGCTTCAAGTATAAAAGTGGGATTGTATGTAGAGACTAATGGTTAATATCAATGCTTAGAGCTAACCTGAATTTCCAATCCTTCATGAAGATAAACTAATCCTTCAGCTGCTCCAAGTGTTATCTGCAATCTTGTCTCCCAAGGAATAGCTGGGTATGCCTTGTTAAATAGATGGTCTTCCAAACTTCTGTTTGGCATATATTCGTAGACTAGCAGTCGTTGAATCCCTCTTTCTCCATCCACAGCACAGTATCCTATTAGTTTGACAAGATTTGGGTGCTCCACAACACCGAGAAATTGAACTTCCGCCACCCATTGTTTGTGACCCTGTATGGAAAACAGAACTATAAGAAATGATATTAAAAAAGAGCGAAAGAAATCGATCATGAAGTCACAAACATCCATATCATCCACCTCTAGATCACTTTCCATCCTTTGAAATAGGGAACGATTACCATTCCAACTAGACGAAAATCTCAACGATGAAAAGGAGCCACAAATAGGCAAAGTGGCTCCCAACAAAAAGTTCACTATGAAAAACAGGTTGATACAAATATGCTAAGAGAAAAACATTGTCCATCTTAATCCCCATATTATTATAGAAGGATTGTTTTGAGGAAGATGATTCTAGGGGAAAAATTTGTGACCCACAGAGGAAGATACACATCACTAAATACCATCTTATCTAATGGATGTCATTCTCCATGACAGAGAAAGGTACAGGTTTGGCTGCATAAAGACACAACAAAATCTAGGTATTCTCCCTTGCAAAAATAAATGGAGCCATATATGCATATATAAAACAAATTTCAGAAGAAATATTTCACTGAATAGCTTCAAATTCCCTTTAAAGGAAAGAAAAAAATGCTGTCATAGAAAGAGACTGAACAGAAATGTAAGGAGAGGAGGGCCAGAAGACTCAGAAAAAATCAATTAACTATATTTTAGACAGCGGTTTAGCTACTTTGAGCATAAGTCAATAAAATGTTTCTTAAGCACTTCAAATAATAATGGGAAAGAAAAAAACTCTTGAGGGCATTGTTTAACAATTCAATTTAATAGGAAGATGCTTAAAATACCATACCTGTAAGCCATCATTGTTAAGCTTTTTAATGGCGACCACGATTGGATCGCCCTTGGCATCAGCAGGCTTAATTGAACCTTTATAAACATTCCCAAATCCACCTTCTCCAATCTTAAGCAGCCTGCTGAAATCGTTTGTCGCATGCCTGAGCTCTTGGAAAGTAAATACTCGCAAATTATGAGCCTTCTCTTCGTACAATTCGGGTATACCGCGCGGTGAATTTTCTGAGCAGGAAGACTGAATCACCCTATCAGCTCCCGAATAATCAGATTTCCTCTGTTCTTTCAGTTCTGGAGCTGATTTTTGTTCCCTGCTCCTTGTTTTCTCCTTGAAGTAGTAGAAGCACTTCATTGCATAAAATCCTATATCAACTCCCTACCAAGATTTGAATGTGATCTTCCTTTGCTGCCATTGAATCAAGTTCAGAAAGTTAAAGCCTGCCACTGAATTGTCACTTGAATATAAGTAAGTATCAGCATCTTCATACAAACATAATTAAAATTCCCAAATGGTTTGTAACTGCTAAAAGAAGAAAGATTATAATCACAGAGAAAATGTTTACTGGCCAAAGAAATGTTTAATTCAATGAAACCACAAATTGAACAAGAATTTAATTTTTTTAAATAGATGGCAGCACCCTAGATTTGAATGTAAACAGAGCAATCATGCAAAGATAAGGAAGGCCCTGATGAAAAATAGATACAAGAGATTGAAAATCAAGAAATCACAGATGATGAATTGCTTGGCAGAATCAAAAGAGTGATCAAAACAGTGAAATCCCAGATGGGAATTCAGAATGGAAGTTTAAATTAACTTACAGATAATCAGCAGACAGAAATGGAAATGGAACTGGATATTCAAGGCAGGGCAATCCTGACCCAGATGAACAAAAACAAAGACAAGAACAATGAATGAACCAATAAATCCAAATCATAAAGGAAATACCTTCACCAATCAATTCTTTTTCAAAGTAATTTCAAAGGGTTTGGGGGGTTGAAGGTTGGAGAGACCTTCACGGGTTTCTTTTCTTGTTTGGCTTCTCTCTCTCTTTGAAATAGTATTGATATAGTCTCTATGAAAAAAGTAGCTAGCTTTAAATGGTTTGGCAATTGTTTGCTTGTGGAATTCAACATTGTATGTATTAAATAGAATTCAACCAACTTGTCAGTTGACAATAACGAGTAGTTCCAGAAACTCCATCTTTCTCTCTCACACAGATTGAAACGAAACAAAACCTGTCCAGAATATGGACTCTATAGTCAAAGCCAAAAACAAAGAATATGTTATTCTATCACGTACAACTAATAAATTGGTCAACGCTTTGAGGAGACTGTTTAAGAAATTTTCATTATCATTTTCTTTTGAGAATCTACTTTTTCATAATTCAAGGAAGATGAAGAAATTTTCGTGCATGATCGCAGAATTATGTGGTATTCTGACGTGTGATTTATAAGTTTACTCAAATCTATAGCACAAGTATCTAGCAATGTATACATGTGATTGGAGTAAACTTATAATACCACGTCAATATTTCGCGTGATGATGTGATCACACCGAAAAAATTACTATTATGAATGTGATAATAAGTGCTTGTATGAAATTCAGTAACAAAATTAGCAGATTGACCATTCCATTCAGTAACAAAATAGTGAAATTTACGGAAAATTTCGATAAATATTACCAAAACTCACCACCTAACATGTCCATTAGTTAATTAATATTTTTGGGATAAGGTTGATGGGGATACAAGACCATCAAGTTGTGTAAATTATAATAAATAATTATATGTACGTATGTATCTTAGCAAGGAAGTTTGCAGAGAGACCCTTGAAATCTGATTGGAAAGTGACTTGGGGACAAATGAGACCTCTAAAATTGACCAATATGCTTAGTTAAAGCAAAGCTAGAATATGCACATTATTTATTTGTTCACGTTTGTTGAGAAAAATGCACATGAGCTTCAACTTGACCATGCAACCTATCCTTTACAAAGCTCCCAATCCCATCTGCATTAAAATTGGAGCTATGCGACTCCTGTCTCCATTGACAATAACCCAAGCCTTGGACAAAACAAAATGGTAAGGGACCCATTTGGGATTTTAAAAGGAAGTCAACAAAACAACCTTGTTTGAGGGTCATACATTGGTCAACAATTTTTTTTTCTTTCTAGATTTACTTGGTAAAGATTATTTCTTTTTTTTGTTCTTTTCATTTTGCCATTAAATACCAAAAAAAAAATCCCCAAAGGGCACCGATGACCGTACAAGTTTCAATGGGATACAAGAGGTAAACTTATATGGTACTCCCCCAACAACGACCCAAGCGTTACCAAGTTGGCCCAAAGCATAAAGGCAAATGTGGTATTCCTCAGACATGTCTCCAAAGGGCTACCAAAAACTGGTACACAACCAGTAAGCTTGAATCACCCAAGCAACACAGCAACCCACACACAGCGAAACTCTCTTCAAGAGAAACCAAAGAAACCGACTAACAAACTCGCACTACAACCGCTAAAAACTATTGGTACACTTACTACAAAAACACAAACAACCAAACCGACAGCCCAACCACTGTCGAACTCCAGAGTCTGATGCCCACAACCACATGTCGACCATTGGCACCAAATAGATCCGCCATCGCAGCTCCAACCTGCAACCCAAAAGGCACAACTATGCATATCTACAAATAAGGACTTATTTGTAACATTTTCCTTCATTCATTTTTTTTTTGTTCTTCTTATTTTTATTTTTATGAACTTATTCAATCTCTGGATTAAATATGGTATATGATAACCGTCAATATAATTAAGACAATAAACCCATTGTTAGCTTGAATATCAATATCATCAATTTTATAAGTAGGGTTTTTAGGTTCAATAGTCCGTGAACTTTGACCCGATTCACATTTTAGTTTCGTTAGAACAAATGGTCTTGCCTTCAGTTTTGTTAACTTGTTCTGTTGAATACAGAGGCAAAATGGTATTTTTGTATTATTTTTAATTTTCACCATTTGAATATTCCAACAAAGCCATGGACAACCTCCACCCAACACCGAACCAATTAACCCACCACCCCGGTAACAACTGATGGTGCTCCTACAACCCACACCCACACTCCCACCCAAACCATACCCACCCTCCTTGTGATGGCGAGGATAGGAAAGTTTTTATTTGTATGTTTTAGGTGAAATGAATATTCAAATGGTGGAAACTAAAAATAATACAAAAATACCATTTTGTCCTTGTATTTAATAGAAAATATAACAAAATTGACGACAAGACTATTTGTCCTAACGAAAGTGAAGTTGATGGACCATGAGAATGATTTTGGAAATTGATGAAAAAAAATGTGAATCGAGTCAAAGTTTAAGAACCATTAGATCTAAAAACCCTTTATAAGTATCATATCAAATCTTGTTAAAAAAAAATAAAAAAATAAAAATATTATTAACCTTTGACTCTATCGCTCTCTACACACACATATAAACCTTCATTAGATTGTATAAAATTCAATTATACCAAAGAATATACCAACCCATATGATTCAAAAGGGTACATGTGTTGCCATTGTATTAATAATATTTTGATCAAATTATGGATTTGGTGGGTTTATGAGATATAGAGAAGAAAGAACTAAACTATAAATCCAATGCATTGTCATCTGACCAAAAAAAAAAGGAAGAATAAATGACATAATTATGTATATAATTGTATAAATATTCTATTTGACAAGTAGTAGGAGGGATCTTAAAATTCCCCATAACATACATTGAACTCCCAACGACTGCAAAAGCTCTAAATTCACGCATTATTATAAAATAAATTATTGGTATCACGCATCGACGTCAAATTATTTTTGGTGCATTGGCGATGGTCCCTTAAAGCTTGGACATTCTCTGGAAGCTGTACTTACTTGTTCATGTTTTCTTTCGAGAATTATGTTATTATGATGGATTCCCAGAATGATGGATGCCAATCACACACCAAGTAGCTTTATTGAAAGTGATAGCTTCCAAATGGTTTGGGCTGTGCACTAATAGCACATCAACATATGTCTCAACTTTTTAGTGATGAGTTCACAACTTTTTGGTAAGTGAATGATTTCGTTATAAAAGTTTCTCTGCAAATATTTTATGGCTTGTAAAAGAAAACTGTTTTATAAGGCGATTTTTTTTGTTTTTTTGTTTTTTTTTTGAAGTTACAAATTTGAGAAAGTTTCTTTACAAGAAGCCAATAATAGGTCAAGAAAATTTCTTTACACACCAAGCAGCTTTATTGAAAGTGGAGAGATGCTAAGATAAAACAGGGAATAAGAGAACATTCATTAATTTTTTTTATTTAAAATTAGTGTATAGTTATTAAAAAATTTAATAATTAGGATATCATAAATCAAGTATTTTGGTTTTGAAGTTGGTGAATGGGTTTTGAATTTTCTTTTATAATAGGTCAATACGGGGGCCCATTTAAATTTATAAGGAAAAGATTATGTTACCCACCACCGCCGCAAGGACCACCTTTGGCCATTGCCGCCCAAAACCACGCCTCCGTCAGCCGGACCACTATCTCACACCGACTGATAGTCGCAGGTTAGACTCGACAACCGAATCACTCCCGGCTGCCACCTTCACTTCAATTCATAATTAAAAAAAGTATTAAAAACCATGACATTTGTAGAATTCGAAATGCACAAATTGTAAACTTAAAAAAATACCAATATAAGAGTAATATAAAAATACACAATGTGTTGAAGTTTTACTAATATAAACCTAAAAAAATAGCAATATAAGAGTAACAAAAAAATACACATTTTTTAAGAACAATATCAAGATTTCATTCATACAAATATCGGCACGGATATAGTAGCCTCATTAAAACCTTCATAGGAAAACCACATGGGACAAACCCCATAGTAGGAAAGAGTACCACACATGCCATTGACTAACAAGAGAATCTGACTTTGGGCCACAATGGACCGTTACAAAGTACCCAATCGAAAAAAGACTACTAGAACCAACACAGAAGACCCCATAAGAAAGCACACCAACGCATCCCAACAGTCAAAAGAAACCTAAGCACACACCAACACATCCCAACAATCAAAAGAAACTTGCTATGAGAACTCTTAATCCTTTGTACAACACAAAAATTGTATAGCATGCCACGGGGCATAGACATGAACACCACGAAGAAAGATAACAGGGACGACAATTGAGAAGAACCTCAATAAAGCACACCAACTCGGCCCAGAACTAGACAGAGAAAAACTGCCTATGACCAAGCATAATTCTTTAGTCGGTGCAGAGGTGAGAGAATTTGCAAAGAGGCAACACAAAAGAAAAAACACTACGAACAAACCAGAAAAATGCAATAAAGAAAACCTTAATGAGTACACCACCGCATCTTGAAACTGTCAAACAAAAGCTCCTATAAAAAAAACCATAGTCCTTTGGACAGCCCAAGAATTGAAAAATATATAGAGAGGTAAACGACGCTCCTTATATCTTAATATGAGCCCCTAACAAAGTAAGAAGGACCAATATCGGCCTCTTAGTATGACATATTCGTGGTTTAACTTAAATCGTAATATTTGATAATCATGTTCAATACATGTATCTCCAAGTAGAGATTAGTTAAGATTTGAATTGAATATTGTTGAACGAATCATTAAAGATCTCCCATGGTGTATGCTCATCACTTTGACCCAAGGTGAATGATCACCGCCCTTTTCAATACTTGACACGTGTCCATAGGCATAATTATAATTAACATTTTACTTTGATTTATATAACCATAATTATGTTTATGGACACATGTCAAGTGTTGAGAATGATGATGAGCATATACCTTGGGTTAAAGTGGTAAGCAAAAAAGCTCCCACCAAAACAAAAGATCTCCCACATTTTGCATAGAATAGTACAGTACTACCACATCAGCATATGATACTTTCATTCAAATTTTACCACGTGTTATAGTTAAAAGAAAATTAAAACTATTTACACAGTTGGATTTAGAAAATAACAGAAAAAAAATCCTTCAACTGGCAGTCCCCCTCCACCGGCCCATCCCTGTTATATTTCTCCCTCTCTCCAATCCTTCAGTTTCCCCATAAAGTTGTCTTCCTCCCCATTTGCCGAAGTTGATTGAACCAC